TCCCCAATCATTGTTGCCAAGGTGGATTTGAGTAGGGAATGCCCCTCCCCTGGGTGTTCCGCACGTGTAACGAACTGACGGGTGGGTAGAGGTTCAATTCATGGTGCGTATTATTCTTCTTCTCCGTCTTAGCCTGAAGCAATTAACCCAGACTCTGGAGAGTGAGAGAGAGAGAGAAGTGTGTGTGCGGTTCCTCATCGTCTCAAATCACGACTTTGTGTGTGCCCCTTTTGAAACCAGACTCGCGTTATGCGTGCGTGCGTGAGTGCGTGCATGCGCGCGCGCAGGCTACATGGCTCGAACACATCCGTATCGTCTTTTAATGTATCCTTTTGTGGTTGGGTCGCCGACGCCGGTCCCGAAAAAACTGCCTGAAATTTCCCACGTGAGACGAAATCGGCGTCAAATGTTGTTACATACGTTAAAGCCTGTGTGGCCTCATGGCTGACCAAGTTCTTTGATTCGGTCGTGCTAGGGTTACCAAAGACACACACACACACACACACAGACACCTGGACTGCCTAAGTTGTGAGTTCCATCGCGCGGTTACAATTGACGGCACTTGACTAATGCATTCTGGTGCGGCTAAGTAAATTCAATCGATAATCTCGAATGCACTTCGCGCAGCAACGTTCGATCAGAGATCGATATTAATCATGTGTGGCGATCAGCGCGCGAACGCTGTTAAAAAACGCGAGCTTATAAAAATTTAATCGATTTTCTTGAGTGCAATTCACGTGTCGATGATGGTTCAGAGATCGATGTCAAGTCTTCCTAAATAAGTTTTCGGTTCGAAAACCATCCCGGGCTTAAGCCCATAACGCCATGAACAGGTCCTTACGCAAGTTAGCATGCTGGTTTGGATCAAATACTACAAAAAAACTGTTCTTAAAATTCACTTAGAGTCATCTTAAGCAAAAAAACACGATGGTCAAGTCGTGTCACGTAACACCTAACCCATTTTGAATGTTTAAATTGCCAAAAAAAATGCACCATCCCACGCAACAATCCCGTTCGCTGCATTTCATGTTTATCCGTGCCATGGCAGTACAAAACGCGCAATTTTCGAAGTAACAAAAGTTGTTTTTCTACTCCCTGCCTTTTCCTTTTGTCAGCCCTCAATTGCCGCGTCTGCCTCTGTCGGAGAGGGCTTCTGCGATTGACAATGGACAAGAGGGGTCAACAATAGGCCCGTCGCATAGAATTATAATAATATAATTTTATCGTAGCCTCCCGTACACCCCCCATCCGAGAGTTCTCGAGTGTGCGGGGTGGTACCGGGGGTGGGGGGAGGTGCTCGCCATTGCAGGGCAATGACAAATCTGTTGAAGAGGAATGAGGGGCTGGAGAGACAGAAGGGTGTGTGTAACGAATGGCGCGAATTTGATTGGTTAGTGGGGGGGGGAGAGGGTAGAGGACACAAAACGGGGCGTTTTATTGCCTCTGCAGGACTGAAGACAAAACCGGGTAATCGTGTACAATGGAATTTGACACATTTGCAGGCTTCCATTCTCCTGGGCATAGGGCTTGGGGTCACGTTGCTGTCTCCACTTTCAATATACGTCAAACTTTCTAAAGACCCTCTCAGCCACTTCTAATCTGTCAGTTTGATTGGCCCGCATTGTCTACATAGAGGGGGCCTTCGGCACACTGAATTCACCTGTAACACACGCATGACAAATATCGGAGTCGAAATCAGGACCCAAGAGAGAGGGAGACTCAACCGTTTGTCTGATGTCTGAACCTAATCGTGTTAGTCGTGCCACTGCGCATAAAAAAGCCGTGTTGTTGACCAATGGAGGCTGGGTGAAGCCGTAAAAGTGCAAATGGCAGAACGGGAGGGGGAAGGAAAGAATGAAACGGGAAGCTAGGGGGCGGTACACGCACAAGCAGACGCTTTAGCTTGATTGATAGGGACGCCGTGAGGAGAATGGCGTGTCTGAGGGCGTGAATCTGCGCGATTGATAAATTATTTAATGCAGATGCTGATGGCATCTAAATGAACATCGCTACGTGAATCGCCTTCGCGATAACTGATTGAATTCACTTCCATTCACGCTCGGTTTCGGTATGATCGATTGGGACGCAATGGCAAAGTTATCGAGTCGTGCGAATATGCTAAATGAAGATCAGTTGACCTTGGCCAGGACTTTTCATTGGCTACTTTGGCCACTTTCAACTTTGTGCCAAATCACGCAGACCAACAAGGCGCACAACATCGTAGATTCGTGCAGGTTCGATTGCCAGCATCAATTCTACTGTTAACTGTCCCCCCCCCCCCCCCCTGCATAAACTTTGAACCCCTCGTGTTCAGACGGCATCGCTCGTAACCCGCATAATAAAGCGGACCAGGGGTAATAAACAGTGAATTCTTGGAGGGGGAGGAAGGGACAGAAATGCATCTGTGGAAGCCCGCAGGTTCTGTTGCGTTTGCAGACTCAATAAACTTTTTATTCCAGGGGCCAAACACAGCAGGTTGTGCTCAAAAACAACGTAAGGCGGCAGATGTTTGGCGTCAGTTTATGTAGGCTGGCTTGATATTGATCGATCACTACGTGAAGAGCATTCAAGATTATCGATCGAAGTTGTTAGCGGTGTTAGCGTGCTGATCGTCACGAGCCAATGAGCGCTGAGCACGAAGAGCGTGTAGCTAACGCAGTGTTTGCATTACAAATCAATTGTATTCTTTAACTATGGAATTTAAAGTAGACAATAAGATTTACATCAAGTCGTGGGCTTGTAATTAATAAAATTTAAATAGTAGCACACACAATGTATCTCGTACACTCCAATGCATCCAATAGATGATGACTTATTGATGAAGTGCCTGATTAGTGAGTTCGCGGAAAAAGTCTCGCATCAAAGAATTTTTACTCTCGTGACAAGATATTATTTAGAGATTAGGAAGCCAAAGTCGGTGCAACGAGCCACCTCTGCACAGTAGGAACATACAAAGTTTTAACTAATTACTTAAATCATTATAAGTAGCAATCGAAAAATCCAAGGATGAATGAGTGCGTGCGGATGAACGGTTGGTAAAAGGGATTGTTAGTGGTGGATTTGATCCAGGATAACAAAATTCGACTTTTTGATAGTTGGTGTTCCCTAGTGTTGACTTTAAACTTTGTGTGCATCGTCTGAGAATTCGCGCAAAACATTTCGTTCGAAAAAAAGGAATCGCATACCAGTACAAAAAAAGATTTTACAGACGTTAAATCTAACGAAATTTCACCAAATTGATAGCTTTCACCAAACTTGAACAGGTTTTTAGTCGGTTGCGATGTATTTCATTTATTTATTAACTTATTAATCGAAATTTACCAGGATGGATAAAGTACGTGAATCTGGACACATTGTTGGTGCCTGTACTTTCCACTAATTTGTGACCATTTAACTTAAAGTATCTATTTTAGCCATCTAGATTGCCGCAGTATGGATTTAAATAAGACCGAAATAAGGTAATGATTATTTACATTAATCAAGAAATGAAGGAAAAATTCGGTTGCTTGAGGGCCCCGGTAACAACTTTTTTCTACTTTCAACTGAAAAAATACTGGATAAACTATCATTTAAATTAAGAAAACGAAACAAGGTAAATTTAACTAGTTTATTTGCAAATGAGTTAGTGGTGGAAAAATAGGTTCAACAAAACAGCACCCGAATTTAAATTCCTTTACTTCCACGATATCCTGCGACCGGATAGATAAATCCAGTTGATGTAATAAAGTTAAATTACTGTGCATTATGAAAAATTTACAAGCGATTGCTAATTGGCAAACTTTTACACATGGGCTTATAGTTATATTGTTAGGGTAGGTATGCAAGTCTACAACTGAATCCTGAAACAAGGCAGATTCGAAAACCAACCGAGAGTTCAAATAAATTATGATGAAAGAACAATTTCGCGACTATTTATATCAGGATTGCACAAAGTGGACAATGCCTTATGAAAAGCCTAATTAAAGTTCAAAGGAATGAAATAAACACAGCAATTATTTTATAACGTAGATGTAAGTAAGGAAGTAAATAACATCAAATCAAGACGTGGATAGGCCTATGCGAATTATGCGAAAAAACACAGCTCACTTTAATGTCTTACGATTTTATTGATATTGCATTCGGTAGACCGACACGTTAACTCTGTTGTTTCCAGTTTTGAAAGATCCATTAAATTGTTGTCATTTAAGCGATTTTTATTGTAACTGAAATATTCAGAATGAAAACAATGGCAAAACAAAACCATTCAAAATAAGAACTGAACAATTTCTAAAGGTCAAACTAACAAATCCAGGCTGTAATCGAGATTTAAGCAACTTATATTGCCACGTTACATAAAAAAGTACACTCAAAAGAAAGGGCCATCTAGAAATCTGTTCAATAGAGGCATGAGGTAAGATTTCATGCAATGAATCATATGCTTATTGCGCATGAATTGATATCAAACATTCAATCACATAAAAAGATTAAGGCATCGGAATAAAACGTCAAAACGAATTCAGAAATCCCAACGAATGCAATGAGAATTAGCATAATTTTGTCTGCTTCGATTTTTAGAAATTTAGCGACAGGATCATTTAATATTGTTTGACTCTAATTTTTCTTACAGGTTTTATGATTTTCTGAAGAAAAAATATCACCGCCACTAGGTAAAAATTTTGGAAGATCATTTCATGTTTGCATGTCTATAAACTTTATTTAATTGTAAATTGAATAATCACATCGAATTTTTAAATGCCCACAAAATAATTGAAATTATTACTCGTTCCTGGATTGGTTTCAAATCCAGAGCGCCTTAAATGATTTGATACAAGAATTTCAAAGAATTATGACCGGCACATTCAAAGTACTTATTTGTTACGAACTTAGGTAGAGTTTTGCGGCTTGTTAGATTGAGCTTATTTATGCGGAACTCATGTTTGCATTGCTTAGAGTTTACTAATTATCCTTAGTTTATAAGCCTATTTTGCGTTTTGCAGGTTTTAAGATGCTGTAACTGAAGGATGTTTGAAAATATCGCAGCTTCGAAACACAGCGCCATTACCTGGCCCTTGTTGGTGGACTACACTAAAGCACAGTGTAAACGTGTTCTTCGAAGGCTTGAGCTCGAGGCCTATGCAAAAGTCGTGACAGTATTTAGAGCTCAGGGCCCCCTAACTGGTGAGAAGAAAAAGACTCTCGAAGATCTGCAACAATTATTAAGCATTGCTTCTGATCGTCACAAAGCCGAAGTCCGCCGCGCTTTAAATGACGAAGAACTGGCTACTATTTCGGAATCGTAGGTTTAATGGGCTGAGATAATAAAGTACTTTTAGAATTTGCGGTAAAGAAACGGATGAGAATTGGGTTCTTGAGGGGCGTCGTGTCGCACCACTTCTACGGCGTGGCGTTCCACAGACAGCCTTTCTGCCTAAAGCGGATGCAGTCGCAAATAAGTGGGCTTCAATCAACAGCAAGTTGCCTAGGCCCATCGAGACGGCTGTTGCCAATATAACACCTCCCAGTATTAGGCCGATTGTTAAAGAACAAGATGAGTTCTTACAAGATACGGGTGCACAGGTACAGTTGATGTCTTACGTTATTGTGTGTCACCCAGCATAAGCTTAACGGTGTTCTTGCTACAAAATTTGTCGCGCACTGGTACATCAATCTAATACCTGCACACTTTTTTCCAAGAACTCTGGCGCCATCACACTAATACTATATTGTTAAGACGTAAAGCGTGTGTAAGTGTGAACCTGTTTGCCTGTTTAATCTAAACTTGAAGAAATGTGAGAATTCTATAAATTTGTTATATTATCAAGTACTCGTCATTCGTAAATTCCAACCCTGAATCGAATGCCGATTTTCCTTTCCAGCATCACGGTGAAAACTCAGGTGTGCTTAAAGTTGAAGTAGCAACAGCTGATGAAAACGATGAAAGAGAAGTAACGTCGAATTCTGTGCCGGAGGCTGCCGTTGAGGTCACTTGTGAAGCAGATGTTTCCAAACTCATCCAAACTCCCCGTAAAAAGGATGAAAATGCGAAGTCAGTAAGTACGGCGCCACTCCAAGATGAATCACATCACAGAAATTTTGGTTCGGGACACGTCCTCCCTGTTTCGGCGCCACCAAAGATTAGCGAAGCCAACGCGACGCAGCAGAACGTATCGTCAAGCCCGTCCCAAGGTTCCTTGATCACTCCTGCCACGGTGAGTATCCACAGATTGTTGCTTTTTGTCTACTTATGTGCTTAATTAACCTCCCTCAAACATGGTTAATTTACAGGGTTCAAAGCGTCCCCATCCGGATTCAAATCCACCTAATCAGGTAATTGTTTCCTCGGAAACAATTGTACAGACCTCACAACCACCCCCAACGACTGACACTACCGCCTCTATGAGCAATGGCGTAATTCCCCTAATTTCATCTTCCCGCAATGTTGTCATTCGCCAGAGCGTCGTTCCCGCCCCAATTCCTGTCTCCCTACACAGCTCCCAAAGTAAGCACGCACTTTCTTAATCCTCCATAATACCATCATTGTAAGTTCTTTGTTTGCCTTATCTGTGGTTAATATCTCTGTATTTCAAGTAGTTGAGGTTTACGATCATCATTTCGGAAAAAAACCTAGATAGCCAATTTACTCCTCAGATCAGATTTGTCCTCATACCCTTTTTTTTGCACTGTAGTGAATTAGGCAGACTGTGTGCGGTTTTGTGCACAATCAATAAATTCCACTGCGTTGGCGAAGTTGACTTATTGTATGAATTCCACTCAAAGGTGTTCTTTACGCAATCGTAAATTGCAACAGATTCTATGTCCGCGTTTTAGGTTATGGGTTTGTCTTGTTCTCGAATTTCGATGCCTCGTTTGTTTTTAGCTATTCGCACTTATCAGCCGTCGTTGTTAATTCACTTCAATTATGATCAAGTGTGTTGAAATGCCGTGACAATCTAACCACTTAGTAGTGGGGTTGCGGTTTTAGATTCCATTCCCTCTGTTCGCTGTTTGTACACACGTGTTCACACGTATTGACGTATTGATTTTAAGGCTGCTTTAAAAAATTGCAAATATAACGGGTTGCCGAATTAAAAATGAACTATTTTGGTCTAATTCGTGAGATATTTTTCAACCAATTCTGGTGTGAAGCTTATGAGCACTGCTTGGCCACCCAACCTTTGTTGAGGTTCGCTAAGGAATCTAAGGTCAACTGGATTGGTGCTTATTGTAATCGTGCGACGATAAACCGAATGGGTGTTTCCTGAGCTCGATGCTGCATTATTCCATGGGCGTTCTTATTGCATGTGTGAGTTGGTTTGGTAGACGTACTTTCGGACATATTGTCCTCCGGAGTAGCTTATCTCTAGGCTAGATTTGGGAGCATCCTTTAATTGGGAGGGCTTCATTTTCCTGGTGCTACGCCGCCAACAGCTCATGAAAAGGCGGGTTGCTGTCCTTTTACTGGGTTAACCTTCTGATGTGTTAGTGAACTCACTTCTTGTTATTTTCGATTATTACCATTTGTTACTGATAACTTTATAGTAGCTATTTTGTTTGCACAGGTATTCAAGTAGCCAAGGTGCAAAGCACCGGCCCCATGGTCACAGTGTCTGCCCTCAACCGCGTCGCACCGACGACCATCGCCTCGACCACACCGGGTTTGACCACCATGGTGGTAACTGGCACTGCCGGTGCAGCCGCCTACGTCTCCCAACCAGTGACTGCTGCGCGGATAATGAAGAGTTATCCCTCCGTGCTGAGTTACCACCACGCCACTACACCCACCACCCACCTATCCGCGTCCAGCATTCTTGCGGACAGCAAGAGACAAGCACAGCATCAGCAGACGCATCCGCAGCATTCCATCGTGGTCCAGCAACAGATTCACTCGACCGGGTCTACTTCTGGCAACGTCATAGTCGTCCACCGAGGTTGGTTGTGTGTCGAATACTCCTCGTAATGTAGGCTGTTGTCTCTGTGGTTCTTATGTGTTTGCCTCATTCTCCAAATCCCCCTTTAAGCCTCTGGTATCTGTCCCACTTAAAGTCAATATACGTCGTTTTTGTCTATTGACACCGCTGTAAGACAACTGCCAGCGCGTGCGTAAGTCAGTGTTCTCTGAAAATTAACCTTGTCCGATCGCAGGTGGTCCGAGTCGTCTGGTGGCGACGACGACGTCGGCTTCAGCGCAAGTTAGCACAACAGCCAATCCGGCTTCAGCCAGTAGCCGTTCCTTGCGGATTCTCCCCGTGCCCGGGTCTGCTGTTGCTCCAGCGACGTCGGCTGCCACGACTTGCGGAAACACAGCCCTCGCTCCGCTGCTTCCCGCCACACAAATACCCTACTCTCATCAACACCCCAGCTATCGCGTCTCCAATCCCGCTACCATTGTAAGTCTACCAGTTGTTTCTCTATTAAACGTAGCCCGAAGTGGCATGTTTCAGCTCCTACACGTAAAACAACGTCCGGTCATATGCGACCGTTCCCTCATTTACGCGATTTGTTGTCTAGTCTACTGACACGATGAGTATTCATGCCTCTTGAAATCTCAATTCTCTAGGTTCAAGGCGATTCGCAGCTGGCGGCAAGCGGGTCCATGAATATAATCAAAGTGCCGATCAGCGCACCCGCCGGCAGTCACCCCAGCGGTAATCTCTTGGCGCGCCCCGCCCCAGCACTGCAGGCCGCAGTAGCCACGTCAACTACGCTTCACACCGGCGCACCACTGCCGCCTCCCCCCACCCAAGCCAACTCCCCCGCTCTGGTCAGTGTTCTCGAGCCGAAACGACCCCGCCTGGCGTTTGTGCCCGCTACCGCGACCCCCTCGGCTCGGCAGTAACGCCCCCCCCCCTACACCCCCGGCTCTCCCCTCTGCATTTCACCCAGTGTAAATATTTACATAGGACATTGTTTTAAGCCTCCCTCCCTCCTGGCTCACCTACCAACCCCCCACCCACCTATCCCCTTATCGTTAGATCGCCCGTTCCCAAAGAGCAAGCTTCAAAGAGGGTGAGCTTGAGTATGCGAGAAAGAACTATATACTACTTGTATGTATGCGTGTGTGCGTGTGTGTGTACGACATGCTCGTGCGCATGTCTAAAGGCTTACTACTCATTATACTATATTAATAAATCTAAATCTTTTCAAGTTGCCTTCTCGATTGCGCTTGTCTGTGGTGTGTCATGGTGGAGGATACATGGTAGAAGGGGAAGCGTTATGGTGCCACCAAACCGATAATACCTAATTATTGGGGAAGTTGACAAAGAGCTTTATAGTGAAGGCCGAATGGGCGGAGAAAGGGCTTAAGGATAGGCTTCTCAAGATCTGTGCCATGATCAGTTGTGCCAGGCAGATTATCAGTCTAGTCGGAACGCGAACTGTCCCACGATCTGCCCTGCAACTATAACTTGGGGTGTTACACGTGCACACGTATTATGCGTGGTGCTGAATTCTCATTGGTGTTCGTTTCTACGTTTGAACACTTGACCCTCAGTGTTTTGGTGTGTTTTAAACAACACACCGGAAGTGGCGAATGGACTTCAAGGTCACCTAGGCACCAGGTATGCGTGTTAGCTGGTGGCAAGGGTACAAATAGATTGTCCTACAAAATCGCAAATGACCTCATTGTGAACGCAATTTGAGCGTGAACCGCCTGTCGTTGTGCGTATCGACTTCACCGTGTGGTAAAATGGTAGGCAGTGAATTGACTAGTCTCAAAAATTGTCTGACAAAACAACCACGGTCTTGGATTACCATATTATGTTCTGTGGGCTATGCATCTACAGACCAAGCTCCTTCTGACTCCTAATTGGGTTGTAGATGACACCATTCACCTTGCATCAGCTAACCGAAATATCCTCGCTTGAAGAACGCCTTGATCAAGTTCCATGGAAGGAAGCAGACGTGAACTGCCTCCTCTCGCACCTGCGTCCTCTGCGCGCCTGCTTCACAGATTCCTCGTCTGGCGCAGACATCTCCCAAGAACAGTGTGCCCGAGTCCTGTCCACGATTTCTTCCCTCCTGTCCAGCCTCCTCACACCCCAGACGAGGCTCTACCTCGATCAGACAGACGGCCGTGACCACCTGTCTTTGTCGGTGGCAATCCAATGTCTGGTCAACTGTCTCTCCTACATGGGCCCTCGGAAGATGCATGTCTCCGGGGAGATCGTGGCTACCATCGTCGCCTCGTTGGTGTACAACGCGGACACCTGCAGCTGGGTGTTCTGCCTCACACCGGGACGACCTCTGCCGTTGTGGCGCGCCAGAATCGGGTGCTACGCTTTCATCCTCATCACCAGTCTCATCACCTCCACGCAGCAGACTGGAATACCCCCTGATTTCGCCAGATTCCTCCACGTCTCGGCGCAGTGCATGCGCGTGGTTGTTGTTGCCGGCGGCGAGAACGCGCAGCTGGAGCGAGATTGGTTCGATCATTGTCTCTCCCTCACTGGCGCCCTCTGTACGTCACCACCCACGCTAGCCTACTGGACACACGAGGTGCTGGGACAGGAGCGGATTCTCGAATTGTCCGCCTTTTTGGGCACGCTTCTTCTGCTTCAGGACTACGGCGAGAAGTTGGACGACCTAGAGTCGCCGTCGTTGAAGAAGCTGGCTGAAACCTGTCTTCAGTCTTGCCTGTCTGTAATGACGGTTCCGAGGCAGGCGTGGTTGAACACGCTTTTGGCAGCCCTTCGACACTGCATAACCAGGTCGCCATTTCAATTGCGTCACGAAGAAGACGGTTGTAAACCGACTGTGGAGCCAATTTCAGTTGTAAGAGCATCGATTTCTCTGGTAGACGCATGTTTATCCTCATCTCATAATTGATTGAGCACTGGAAACGTGTTTAGGCACACAGAAAACTACTGATACCTAGAGTGCATCTAACAGATCAGAGTCCGATCGACAGAGATCCTATTTGGCGTCTGCTCAACTTTGAATCTGGAATCTGTGCTTACAATAAATCGTATTATATTCGAAGGTGCAGGGGTTGTTGCAGAGCCTTAGTTATGGCTATTACAAAAGGAATCAATTGCAAGAGCTGGTTCATTTCAGGTTGTTAGCTTGACTGCTTATCTCTCCCTGCAGCTGCTGTCAGATAACAATATTCCCCAACTGCTTGGCATAATGCGCGGCGCGATTTACATCATGGTTGCGCTTCTTCCTCCGATTGAGGAGGCCTCCTCAGACAACGCTTCCAGTCTCATCGACAATGACAGGCTACTTGCTGATCTGATCGCCTGCGTTGGAGATGTCCTGGTGATAGTCGATTCTCTGCTTCAAGCACACCTTGCTGCGTGTGAACCAATCGGACCACGCAAAAAGCCACCAAGTCTGATGGACTCGATGGTGAGGAGTTTGCGATTGCCCCGCTCAAGTCACCAATTCTCTAATCGCATTCTGTCTCACACAGCATACGCCCGATTCGCTCCAGCCACTTACTTGGTAGGCACCAAGTGGATTAAATGTTCTAACAGAATGCCATTCAAGGTGCAGTTGTGTTTAACTGCCGTCCACGATTCACAAATTGCAATTCACTGGTCGAGAAATGTTCAGGAAACCCGCTTTACGGGTTGTGAGGTTTGCTAGAAGTGTTACGACTGCATTGGCGTTCATCCACCACTATTTCCTTCACAAGATCTTGTTCAAAGCATTGCTTAATTCTCTTTCCTGTAGAATTGCCAGAGCCCGATATTTCCGCGTCGTTCGGCTGTGTTTGTGTACTTGTGCGTGTAGCAGCGTATGACTACACAGCGGAGTAGGCATGACCACCGATTAAATACAATTTTCTGCCGGAGAAAGCACCGTTTCTTAAAAAAAGCCTTTGTTGTGCTTATCTATGGTCAAAGCATCATCGACTGTAAACCAAGCATTGTGAATCGTCGTTTGTTTAGCACAACTTTGTTTGTTTTCATTTGGAATGTGATGACGTCCAATGCGTTTTAAATAACCCCTCTATCTTGATCCATTAGGTTGTCGTGAATCCTGTTTATTCAACCCCTTAATCCGATCTCTCCAGCCTCCGACACAGGGTTCCCCTTTTTCGCAGCATGGCGCCAGCCGCGCGAATCCTCAACTCCCCCTTCATTCACACGAATATTTATCTTGAATTATCCTCACGCCTAGGTCTCGATGTCAGCGCAGTTATGACTCACACATCTGATCTATAAATTCACACGCGCAAACTCCACACACGAGACGACGACGACGACGACACCAACGTGGTTTAGCTCTGAAGTAAACGGTTGTGTCCACGTCCTCTCCGATCTTTTTTCTTCATCGCGGGTATCAGGGAAGCGTAATCGGGCCCGAGTTAATTCCGTGGCCCCGGCGTGGTTTAGGACCGCATGCTGGGGCCCACAGCAAGGTCAAGGCTACTCATTGCCTATAAAAGCGGGCACACTCTGACGCGCTACTCAGCCATTGGCTGAGACAGCTAGAGGTCATTGAAGGTGGGGTCCAATGTCAAACAAGTGACCTTGAATACTGGTTCGCTGAATGTGTGGTTCTTGTCATTGACCCGCCATTCACCAAAGTGAACGATCATGACATTTCTGTTCTCAGTTCAAGTAAACTCAAAGAAGGTCTACTTTTTTACTTTATTATTCCTCGAAACCTCCTATTGGTCAATTAGCGTTAGCATAGGTGGTTTTGAACGGCCAATCCACTTGCGGGAAATTTCATGCACCGCTTAAATTAAGTTGTGTCTGCGCGTATTCATTTCCTTAAGGGTGTCTTCAGATTTGACGCTCCCCAGAGCATTTGCTTCGCGTCAGACCTGAAACAGGAGCTCATTCGGTGTCTGCTGGCCATCGTGCACGCCCGACCGAACCTAGTCCCCTGCATCGCGGATCACGCCCGCGCCACAAGCATAAAATGCGTCTCCGTGGTGGATGCCATCCCAGTGAACGCTCGCGACGTCTTCTGGGCCGTGATTAACTCCACGCAGCGTGATCCGGCGAGCCCCGTGGCCGTGGAGTGGACCATTGTGCTGTTGCGGTTGCTGCTCAAGCCTGCGGACGCCTCTGCCGAGGTTCAGCGCGCCGCCGCGTCCATGTCGGAGAGGATTGCCCAACTCAAACCCACGGCCACGATCAGAGAACAACTAAAAACCCTCGTTGGCGTTGAGCTGCCAAAATAGTCTGTAATGTACTTTTTTTTTCTGAAATTGGTTAATAAAAACTAGCAAGTAAGCTCTCTGGCTTGAGTTTTTGTGGTCCGAGTTTGTGTGACGTGTTCACTTGAAGTCGATGTTGATTTTGAAGGGCACCTTTCGCCGGACTGCTTTTCCTTGTTCTTGGTGCTTGCGTTGTTGTTTTGTGAATTTTTTTTTCAAAACTTAGCTTTTGTCGTAAACCGGCATCGTTGCGATTTGATGCGAAGACTTCGAAACCATCGCAGTCAACTTGAATGACCTTGACCTTGTAAAGTGCTCATTTTAAACCCCTTATTTAAAGTGGCAAATGCGATTTCCGTGACCATTCACCTCAGGTTGAATCGAATTGAGCACTTTCCGAGTGACGACTTCCACCGCGTTAGTTACTAGGCTCGGTCGTATTTTGCATTTTTGTCCGAGGTTACTCAGTCACGCAGTCTGATTTGTAAACACGTTGGATTCACACGTACTCTCATGACTCACGAAGGTTTCACTGCGTTGTCGTCTTGCAGATGGTCAAAGGTGTCTGATTTCTTGCGGATTCGAAATGTTCTGCCTAAAAAATGGCTTTCAAGGTGGGTATTGTAGCATTTGCCACGTTGTGTTCTCTCAACCCACATTCCGACTGTAACGCGCGCCATTCGCCCCACGCACGCCGGTCTGGCGTGTTCTTTGTCCTCCTCTCCCCTCCCGCACTCTCGCCTTCCTCAAGGCACGCTCGTGAGTCTGAGGGCAACGCCGACCCTCCTCGCGGCCACCCCTTTCCCCGCTCTAACTCCCCCTAAGCTCTAGCCCTCTGGATTTGTATACTGTAGTATGGAATCCATCCGGTTCTTCCAGCTATTCTTCTATCGTATGCCTGGTAGCTAACCATGACGGTGTGGCTATCTAAGAGGGACGGACTAACAGTCATCTCCCTATTTAGGTCCCCTCTCAGTAGGCGCATTACACGACATGTATAACCTTCATTGTTGGACCTTGGTGACCAACCATCTCTGGTGCACTAGAGAAATTCGCCCTCGTCAATCATATCTCGTTAGAGGATCTGAATTAAAAGTTCATTACAACGGCGTGCCACCACGTGGATTTTAAATGTGACTTCCACGTTGTAGTGAAGAATGGATCATTTAGAGGTGTCCTGAATGGCGGATTCAGGCATTTTATCCCAGGCTTATTGGATAATGACAGTTAATTGTCTTCTCATGCGAGCATGACAACTGCCTAAGTTGATGTGGGCTTTTGCAAGCCTGCATAATAATTGTGGACTCCGTCTTAAGGTCTTGAATCACGCCGAGTTGCTGCGTTTCATTGGACCGATTACGCTCCGGACGACTAAGAAAACTGATTATGGCGGAAAAACAAGCGTTTACTACAAGCCTCATTCGAGTTGTGCTGTTGTTTGCGTGTATTCCAAGTCGTGCGCGACTAATTTTCGTTCAAATGACTGAAACAGGCACCGAGAGAGAGAGAGAAGTGCTTGCACAAGGATGTTTCAGCAGATGGGGTTCGTATGGGTGATTTGGGGTGGTGTGTCGGAGCACGCGTCAGCAGAGCCGTATCTCATTGGTTTACACTGATCTTGTGGCGGTATCTCATTGGTTTACATTGATCTTGGAGTTGTGGCGTTCTCGATGTATGGTATTGGGTTTTACTAATTTTGATAAATAACCAGGTGTTTAACGGGTGCGAAGATAACAGAATTCCATCACTTGTACTTCCTTCAACCTCATCAGATAAGCACGATTTGGTGGTGTTATTGTAGCATATTTGATACCTCTCGATTGTAAGCTAGACGGGAAATGCAGTATTAGTAAATAGTAACCATTTTTGCTTTCTTTTTCGAATTAGGTCGTGTTAGAAACATGCTTTAACTTTACCGCTAAACCACTCACAATCCAAGGTCGGTCAATAATCGATCAGACAGCAGGCCTTCGTTAATCTGAAAGGGTATTGTGCATTTCCTGTGGTTTTTATGCACCATACTTATCAACTAAGTTAAGAAGAGTAAGTACGCAGCCCGTCCGCGGGAATGTGCGTTGCCTTGGGTCAAGTCTCAGGTGTTACTCCGCAAATTTGGATTTACACGAGTCGTAGTTAACTGCTACATTTTTGTTCATTTAAACTCGCAATCTGTGCCATGTTAACGGGACACGGTGTCTGTTGCCATGGCAACTAGCCGCCACTGCACTTATGAGGTCGACTTTCTCGCATTTTGTGCTTCAGCGCCTTTGCAATTCCCCTCGTCTCTTCGGCGTCAGGACCTTCGTCTTTCCGAGGCTGTGGAGAACATGTGTTTCGACGATATCTCCGCCTTCACAAATACTGGACGAACGTCGTCTAACGCGCCTCCTTTCTCAACCGGCTGAAGCTGCAAACTTCGCACAGCTTCTCAGGGAATCGCCTGATTTCGATGCAACCATCGTCAGGCCCCTTCTGGACGTCGCCAAACTGACTCGCGCGTCCATCCTGGACCTTCTGCAAATAGCCTTGTCGCCGGATCTGCCGACATTTTACTCGCAGTCATTTTCCCCACAGACCCGTCGACGCCTGCTGCAGCCGGACTTTGTGCTCTCGCAGTTGAAGCTGCCGCTCATGCGGTTCGGTGTGACGAACCCCGAACGCGTGATTCGCAGGTGTCCGAGTCTGTTCACCGCGGCAGTCATGCAGGACGGTGGACAGACGAGACTGTTGGCCTCTCTTAGCGCGTTGAAGGGCTTTTTAACGAAAAAGGACCTCGGCACACTGGTCAAGAACTATCCTAGTGAGTGCGTGAGCTCACTGCTCGTGAAAACGAATGCTGGTCGCCTCCAATTTACAAAACCAAGTCTTTTCAACAACCGTACTGATAATGAAATCAGTGGTATTACGATTGCATGTCGCGAATTTACGAGATCTGCAAAAATTCGAGCTGTGTTCGAACA